AGGCCCGCGGGGCCGGGGGCACGGCCGCAGAGGGTGGTGGCTCACCCTTCCAGGGCAAGCCAGGGGTCGCAGGGATGGGGAGCTGGCCAGAAACGGCTCTCTCGGGAGCTATCAAAAGACTTTAAATCAACAAGAGAGAGGAATATTCACTTCCACTGCCAAGGTTTTCAGGGCTAGGGGGGATCTTCCTTCAAATACATGGAAAGAAAAATAAAGGGCTGAAATTAGAACTGCTGCCTTGGATCCCAGTACGTATATGTTGCGGGTTTTCTTTTTTTTTGGTCAGCTTGGAGCCATGCTTTGAGTACAGAATATGTGCTATTTTAAAGATGATAGTGAGCTACTCTGGGTGACTTGGAAAAGATGGAAGTTACAATCTGAACCTGTAATTTCCTAGCAAAAACAGCATGTGAAAGAATACACAGGGTAGTTGTTCAGAAAATGATCATGTATGTACCAGTCTAGGTTTATTGCTTGTGGAGTGAATCAATACAATTTTTTCAGGTTATCAAGAAGATAACTGTGGCTCATAATACACATGAGGCAGCTGCAGATTCACAACTGATTGCTTCGTTACAGATTCAAGGCATCATTATGTTTCCTCTGTTACTTAAGCTGACTAGAAATCCATCCATGGAAAAAAGTAGAGTTGAGAGTAAGAGGAGAACCAGGCACCTCTCCCCATCCATGTTGCCTGTTTAATGCGCTCCTATGTTACTGTGTACAGGCATGCTCTTTTCTGTGAACTTTTAAATGTCCAAATATATTAGCAGATTTACAGTAAATTGCCATCAATTTTTTATTGCTTATTATTTCTCACCCATGTCTCCTAGAATGAAACTGTATTCCCTAGTGTCCTGGTTCTCTGCTGTGGCTGAGCTGTAAACCTTTCCTGATGTAAGACATTGTCGGTTCTGCCAGGGCGTTTCTTAGTGCTTATGGGCTGATTGCAGGGCTTACATGCGCGAGAGCAGGACATCCACATTTACAGGACAGATATTCCAACAAATACGTCAAGTGAGTCAAGAGCAATTATAGGAGATAAGTAACTGCATGGCTTAATAGTGGTTGATATGAACATAAATAGAAACATCCACAGTTCTTGAGAAAACTAAACAACAAAAGGCTTGTCCATTATTGTCTCCACCCAAGCTGGGCAAAATATGTATTCAGCAACCAAATAGAGGAGACATTTTAAAAATGTCCGTGAATGAAATATTTAGCTATTTGGTTTCCCTCGAGGTAGGAAAAGACGTATCTTTTATTAAGAGCTTAAAAGAAAAATGAAGCCCTACTGACGCGGGGTCAGTAGACAGCAGGGTTGCATTCATTTTGCATGAGCAAAGCCTAAGGGAGTGCTGTATATGTTAGTCATCAAATTTAAATTTAAACTTGTGAGCCAAACCTGCCTTTAGCAGAAAGGCATCAGCTCCAGCACACCCTGGAAGGGAAATGGGGAGATATTCTTTGCATTTGCTCACCAATTAGGAATGGAGGTTGGGGAAGGAGGGAGGGTTTGCTGCGATGCACTTGTCCGGTGAGGGCTGGCTCTGACCAGATCACATACTCTCTGTTTGAGCGTATGACAAATTCTGTGCATCTGTCTTAGCATAGAGAGTACATCTATGTGCAGAGACTGCAAAGATATTTTAACGGAGCTAAGGTGACGTGTTGCCTTGCCAGATGCTTCCCCTTTATCTGAAGAACTTGTTTTGAGCTGGATACTTTTTGAACTTTCCTCACTGAATGAATCTTTGCATCTCTATTTTTGTCTTTCTGATTTTTGATGGCACCAGCCTTCCCTGTCTTTGATTGCTTTCTAGCCTTATGCAAGGACGGTCTATAGCAGCTGTAGTTACTAAATAGGAGATGTGCCAATTTGCCTGGTGCTTCTCTTTGCCTTTCACACTAAGGTATTATAATTCAAGCATCACAGCTGACAATTGACTGAAATTGTAAAATCTCATCAGGGATCCAAAAAACTCCCCCCAAATGATTGCATGTTCTGGGAGCTGTAGTTCAGGTCCACCTCTAATTACATTGCAGTTCCTGTGCTAAAGCTGTTTTACATGTTACAGGACACCAGCCAGTTCTGATAGGCATCCCCAGATGACCAGAAGCTGGTGAGTTCCAGTACCAGTAGTTGGGCTGCTCTTAGCATCTTGGACCTCTGCATGCATATATAAATCTGCCCAATGCCATCAGTAACTAGTTTGTTATTGCTGATCCTGAAGATGGTGAATTTAAAGCTATCGTCTCATGCATGACTGCATAAATGACTGCTGCAATCCTCTAGTTGCAACGTGGGCATCCTTTTGATTCTAGTCTGTAGAGCAACACTGACGTTGGGTGAAACAGTGGGGTCACCATACCAGGCTTCAGCTTTATTCCAGGTGAAAAGTGTAAAGAATGTCTTGCTCCTTTAGACAAAAATGATGCGGCGCTGGCACAAAGCATTTGAAACTCTTCAGGAAGGAGCTGTTTACAGGTCTCACATATCTTACTTCCTTTTAGCAAATTGGATCAAAGGAGGAAGTTGGAAACTTAATCTGCAAAGCCATGCTAGGTTTCACAGGTAGGAGGTTCCCCATCAGTGATACTCATCAAAGACTGTGTGGATTACTTACCAGTGTATATCCCCAGCAGAGTGTAAATTAAGGATTTGGAGGGTTCTGCTGCTGATCCAGTGGTGCCAGTGGCATTGGTCACACAGTCATACGCTCCACAGCATGTCAGGTTTTCTTCTGAGATTTCCACTAATCCAGTAAGAACCAAAAGAAAGGCAGGACAGGGAAGAGATCAGATGAGTGAAGACTGCATGTAAGGACATAAGGAGAAGGGAATCTGGAGCTGGGTGATTGGTCCTGGTTTCAAATCCTTCCTGATTAGAGATTTTAACTTCAGAATCCCAGCTTAACACACAAAAATTTGGTTTAACAGAAACAGTTGCTCAAGACAGTACACTGAATTCATGGTTACATGGAGACATGGACTAAAGCCAGAGGCTGAAAAATGAATCCAAGCTCAATCTGCAGTATTTAAAGTTCCAGCGTGTATCTGTTGATCATAATACCCCACAAGTCAGGTCCCTCAGTTTATACCACCACTGAACTGATGGACCTCAATTCTTACAGCCAGAGCACATTATCCCTCTCCAGGTAATTTCTGTATATGTTATAGGAATGGAAACCACCTCAAGACATCTTTTTGTTTTATAAATTCAAATTGTGATTACCTGCTAATGCAGTCTTCCAAGAAATCAGCTTTTCCTGGCTTCATTCCTGGCTTTATTACTCTCTGAGAACACACTTGAAACCAGAAGTTTGGCAGGGTTTCCAGTAAGACCTTTGCTTTGTTCAATCCCGCCAGCGTTGTGCTGGGCATGTGTCAAAGCCACACACATGCGTGTACTCATGCACCCTGTGTGTCACCACGACACCATGCCCACTTCCTCCAGTACTCTTTCTGGAAAATCAAAATACTAACCCAAAGCGTGAGCCTGAATAAGCTGTGGAGCGGGGAAGGATGATCAAAACAACATACAATTAGTTCAGTGCTCTCACTGCAGAATTTGTCACTGGTCCAAGCATAATAAAGAGTAGCTTGGCCTATTCCTTAAACAGGACTTGATCTGTAACTTTGCAGTTAGGGTTATTGTGTAACTATTCCAGACCCTCAGCAAAATTACCATATGCAAAAGGTGAGTCACACTAGTGAAGTGCGGAAGTGTGTAAAACAAGTTTTTTATCTCTTCATGCATCATCTGAAGATGAAGATGCACATGCAGTCAGTGATATGGAAGCTGCAAGGCGGGGTTTGCTCTGGTCGTCTGGCAATAAGGCTGCAATATCGATGAGCAAGAAAGGATGACTCTTGTAATTTACATTGATTACTCTCTTCTGTTGTAGTATTACCTCATGGTGTAGCTTGCCTTGCTGTGTCTGGATGCAGTGATGCAGGCAATATGTCAAGTGTATGTACATGTCTGAATTTTATGCATTTTGATTCTGCAGATACATACTGTATCTTTCTGACTGCTCAGTGAAATTATACATTTTAAGTATATGGACAATATGGGTGGATATCTTTGCTGATCTGTCAGGGGAAAAGAAAAGAACTGAGTGCCTGGAGACCCTTACCCCCCTGCAAAAAGCTCCCTCTATGTTAAAGCTGAGTCTCACTGCGAAAGCACAGTTGGGAAGCTTATAGTATGACTGCTCATCACTGTTGTGAAGATATGCAAGGCCTTTGGCTTTGAGAGGTGTTCATAGCATACCTCCCAGGAGCACAGCATTCCCTGAAATCCAATGTCACTGGTAAAAAATAAGTAAAAGTTGGAGGTTCATTAGAATTTAGAGGAACATCCTCAGATGTGAGACTAGGAGAGAATTTACAAGATAGAAAAAGAGTATTTTAGTCCTCTTATTAACATCACTTAATGTGATGTGCGCTGTGGGGCAGAGGAGAGTAAAATGGTCGCAGTCTGTGCAGACCCTGCAGCTGCACCGGAGCCTCTGCCCTGCAAATGACACCGGAACGGCCGTTCCCTCCCGAGACATCGTGCGGCTCAGCCATTGGGTCAGCAGGGCTCAGCTGCCCTTCATACATGCCCTTCAGCATGCTGCTTTGGGGGTGTTTCATCTGCAGTTGCTTGAGTGTAAAGGAAGCGTGACTCTCCCTAAGTATCACACCTTGTGACAAGTACCGTGCCCATAAACCCAAGGATTCAAAGATTAAAACTTGATGCCAGCTCCCTGACATTTAGGTTTAACCGAATACCTATTTGAATACCCTCCAGAGGACACCCTGTTTAACCGAGCTGGGGAAGAGAAGTAACTTTTTGCTATTCATAGTAGCAGTGTATATGGAAAGCTCTTCCCATGTCCATTGTGTTCTGACTTTGACAGGATAGGGAATGCATGAGAGACTGCAATGATAATACACCGCAGCACTTTGAATCTCTAAGGTGGCATCTAAGTATTAATTTATCTTCACAACTGCCCTTTTAAAACTTACACCTATTACAAGCATGGGAAATGAAGGCAGCACTGTTGAGTGATTTCTTCAAGCTGCATCGGCACCTCCTGTCTGAGCCTGAAATACAGCAGAGGAGCCCTGGCATACAGACTCCTGCCAACAGCTACTTCTATTTCTTGATAATTCTGTAAAGCACTCAGTTTCAGCAAGCACCAGCAGCTTGACTAACCTTGAACGTTTAGCGGCAAATTAATCCAATACTACAAGCTTTGCGAAAAGGCTGCTTCAGTGTTTTGCCTTTTGTTTTAATCCACTTTAAATAGAAGTCAGATGTGAAAGACTGTCACTGCCAGCAGCCTATCTGTGTTTCACAACACAGGGGTGGAATTCAAAAGGAATTCAGTAGACATCTATTTTTGAGCTAGTTGTCTGAACTCTCTTTATAGCTGATGAAGAGTTGATAGAGAATAGACGCTGCCAGAGAGCAGTTTAGCCCATCTATTTCAGACATCTACCTTCAGGTGAACTAAGTCACATCTGAAGTGCCTGTTTCCACTGACTATGAAGGCAATTGAGGGTCACCAGCTTAGCTGCAGAGATATACCTTTTAGCCATGTAGAACTAGCTGATGTTTGTAGAGAGAAGCACCAAGAAATTAAAATATATTTTACCTTTGTTGGAAGCTTGGCTGAGTATCAAGGATGAGATAAGATTTCCCCAGATGCCAGAGGACTGAAATATCAGAAAGAAGACCCCAAAGTATTGGTTGATGATGTCTTTCCCAATTTTTCCTGCTTTCTCAGCATAAGAATTGCCAGCAATGGTGAGGTAAGTGCATTTGGCAGACCAGAGCGGTGCTCCTCCTAAGCCCAGGATCACAGAGGTAGGGATTAGTGTGTACCTGCCAAAGAACACTTTATTTAGCATAGCTATCATCCACAAGCATAAAATCATTTGCCCAAAGATCCAGAGGCAAAAATAAACATTAAAGAAAAAGATTTATCCTTTGTGTGATTCAAGAAATCTACACCATGGAACCAAGAAAGGGCCAGTCTTATGGAGTTTAGGATGTGCAAGCACTCCCAGCTGTGTCCAGGGGCTAGGTCTTGGCTAGGCTGGCTACATCTGTATTCATGTGCCCTTGTAACCAAGAACCTAAATTGCACCTGCACTTTGGAAGGTGGATCACAACAACTTTCCTCTGCAGAGTTGCATCCCTTGTCACTGGAAAGTAGAGGAAAAATTGTTCATCCACCTCCAAAAGGGCAAGGCAGGAGCTGGCCACCTCCTGTCATCCTCTGCTCCCAGAGCCACTGTCTAGAAGAGAGCCTTTCCTTACCAATCTTTTCAAAAACAGTCCTAAAAGTAATTTGGATTCTAACGGAAACTTCTGATTATTTTTTTTTCCTGAAGGGAAATCTCTGCTACACGCATGAATTAGAGAAGCAGCTTCAGGTGGGTGGATGGATGCATTCATTCTGGCTTTTTTGCACACTTCCCCTCTCTGCTTCACCTGCTACTGGATTTATTTATCCCTGTTTCTTGCAGGTAACACCTTTTGCATCCAACTTTCAAATCTGCAACACAGAAGTAGAGTAGGAATTGAGAAGAAAAAGAAGAACGAACTTTACCCTTACTGGTTTTGTTCAAACACAATAGACAGGGTTAAAGTATTTAAATCGTACCAGCTAGCATAGAAGTTCCCTAAGGAGAATGCGATGTAGCAGCACATAGAGCTTGCGATGGTCCACTTGCAGCCCAGCTTCTTGATGAGGACTGGAGGGAGGAACATGGACGATAAGATGAGCGCAGCATAGAGAACACTTAGGGAAGCAACGCCCAGGCCTTCTTCTGAGTGGAGACTGCTCTGCATGGACAAAAACAGCAGCTGAGACAAATTTTACCACAGGCATATGTTATTATGGTGTACAGAGAGTGGCTTCAGGCAGGAACAGAGAGACGTGGAAGCTGGGGCCAGGTATTGCTGTCTCCTTTCCTCAAAGCAGCCTGATTATGGATTTATGGTTTTCCTCATGACGATGGCCCATTTATGAAAATGTGATACAGAACCAGGTGGCGATTGCTCAGATTCAAAGCTTTGGTAAGTCAGACTTTAGATTATTTAATGTAATTCATTTGAGTTTGTCTTTGAAAGCAAGCTGAATGAAGAATAACCTCTTTTCTTGGCCTTCCCTTTTTGTCTCAGGCAGGAATGTCCTCAGGTCTGCACCGCAAGGGCTGACTTAGCAGCAGTGGAAGATTCTTTGCTTTAAACTACAGGTCTGGTAATTTCTAAATTCTTCAGAGGCCGAGGTCCATATGTCCTAATATGCTCACAGCAGACCTTTGTAGTTGGAAGTAATTGATTAACCCACAGTTTCAGAAGGGAGGAATAACATTTTAGTGATCTAACTAGGTTTTATACTTTTATGCTCAAAATAGTTCTCCTCTTGTCTTGATACTGTGAAAGTTGCAATAAGCAGATCAAGATGCTGCTTATCAACATTTTCCTGTTTGTTTTCATTAAAAGCTGACACGACCCAGTATGGTTTTGTAAGGGGGAATGGATGCTGGGGGCTGGTAGCACGGGAGAGCGCTGGAGGAGGGTGAGGCTGCTGGTAGCTGCACCAAACGCTTCCAGTCCTGGCAGTGGCAGCATGGACCATGTAGGACCATTCCACCATGCAGGACCATGGTGGCAGCCACATGGCAACCTTGGCGAGAAGCAGGCATCAGGACGGTGAGGTGAGGAGGTTCTCTGTTGAGCAGTGTCAATGTGTTTGAGAATCCAAATGGTTGTTTTGTAAAAAGGCAAAGAGGCTTCCTGATCACTGAGGCCCTATTTCTGAAACACCACATGCCTGGTTTTGACAGCTGCAGCTTCCAAAAATTAGGAGCCAGGCCTTCAAAATCATATGGTTAGCTTAATTGTTACTATTTGAGGGGTTATTTTGGGGGGGAGGATGTTGAAATAAATGATGCAAAATTTTAATATTTGTCCTGCAGGCTACAATACAATGAAATAACCTACTTCTGACTGTGTCTCAGCAAGTCCTCTTTAACCGCTAAGACAAAAATGGAGAGAGAAGAGGGCTACTTCATGAATCAGCACCCCTCTCTCCTGCAGTGCTAGGGGAGGCTTTACATTCCAGCGCTTAACCTGCGCGTGTACCATTTCAGATGGTGGAGCTGCCTCACGGCTTCTAGGGTTTATCTTCCCCCACCTCGTTAGTCTGCCCAGCTCATAACATCTCCATCCATTTCTGGGACTGTTTTTGCAGAACTTCCCTGAACTCGGAATTTGACCTTGTCAGTGAACAGAAACTGCTCAAGGAGAGGAGGAGAGAGAGATGGACAGAGCTAGCAGGGACCTCATCCTGAAATGAGATCAAGCCCTTGTTATTGCAAACAAGTGCATCATGCTGTATATCAAGCTCCACCTTTAAAGCATACAGATTCCCACACCAGTGGGAAAATCTGACCCAATTAATTAGGGTCATCTTTTAATGTCCTGCCTGAAGTTGCTCATGAGTGACTTATATCCATTTACTTGTCATTAGACCAGCAGAGTCTTCTAGTCTGAGAAGTTCCTCCTTGAGTTTATCTACTCTGAAGTATTCATAGACAGCAACAGTAACCCTCAGTCTTTTCTTTTGGCTATGCTAAACAAGCCAGCCCTGATGGTATCCTGAGTGTTCAAGTCATTCCAGAAACCCATCTCTGCTACTGTGTTTTAAGATGTTAATGCCAATACAAGCCACAGATGCCTTTGATTTAAAATAATATTTTTTTAGTGTTATGTTCTATGATGCCAGGAATTACTGTATTATTTTATACTTAAATTATGTAATGGATTTGGCGTACATTTTTATTATTTTACATTGCTGTATAACAATACTAAAATTATAGTAATTTAGAAATCTTCAAAACAAACCCCTTCCAGAAATGGGAATGAGAAAAATCTCAGAGAAGTTTAGTTTTCATTCAAACAGCTTTTATGGACCTAAAGAATACTTGTCTGACACAAGCGTTCTAACTATTTGAGAAATGCTAGAAAAAATACTGAGTAAATGCTATGGATCTGGGTGAGGGATACTAACCTGCACCAGGCTGATGTCCTAACCCACCTCAAAAAAATATTGTGCACGCCTTCCTCACAGAAACCGGGGAAAGACCAGTGGGTTTCAAACAACCAGCTGGCCGGATACCCTTCCAGGCCAGCTGTCCTGCCAACCACTTACCTGTAGACTCTGGAGTCCTCCATAAGCAGTGAAGAGAAATAAAAATCCGAAAGAAATAACCAAAACATTCTTAAGATTCCTTTCCATGTTGATTCGTGCAAGACAAAGGTCTGCCGGTGCGCAGAGCTGATCCAATTATTCCACAGGATGCTTTGAGTTGGAGAAAAACAGCTTCTGTTTTGCTGGAAAAGGTCACTTCTCACTGCATTTGTAGAAGAAAGAGTTGTTAATTATTTGAGGATTGGCCAGTGAACTTTACTTACCCTGATACTGGAAACTCCTTGCAGAGTCGTTACTCATTCACCTGTTGTGACTGATGCACTAATAAGCCCTCCCAAAGAACATCTATCAGGTTTTATTAGATAGGTATGTAACACTTTATTACATAGGTATGTAACTTGCAACACTTGAACTGATTTTAGTGTTGCAGTCATACGTTTTACGGCTCTCCCCTATCACTAGCACAGGAGAAAAAAAAATCGCAAGCAAGTGAAATGGCTCTGGCATAAAGATACACTAATCCATAAAAGGCAAAGATTAAAAGATTGTACAGAAATCTATATTAGGCCTCTTACTTACAAAAGAGTACTAGGAAATGAGATTGTTTACGTTGCAGTGTTACCTGCATGCACAGGCTCCGTAGCCGTGCAGCGTAGCAAACCAAGGTTGCTGCTTGCTTGGCACACGCGAGAGTCTGCATCTGTGGTGAACCCCCTGGCTTTGATGTTTCAAATTTACCAAGTCATATTCATGACAATCATTTCCCCCCATCTTTCCCATCGTCTCAGAAGCCAAGAAGAAACATGCATTTAGCAGATAAATAAAAAAGCAGCTTCCCCTCCCCTCTTCCAGCCCCTGGAAAACCCCAGCCTTTGTGGTATGTATCTTCCCTTGCCGGGGATGCCTGGCTCAAGGAGGGAAAACTTCCCCCCAGGCAGCCAACCCTGCCCTGTTTGCCCCTCCTGTCCCCTGTTTTCAGAGCCTGCCCATGTGAAGTTGCATCGCCTGTTTGTTTGTGACACTCTGGCCATCCTGCAAGGCCTGGCTGAGCTTTGGAAGGTTCCCCTTCTGAGCACACCAAGTCCTCTCTGCCCCTCAGCCCGGTGGGGCGAGCAGACCGTCTGCAGGCCCTTCTGTGGCGCAGGGGGGGTGTGAACTTGGGGGCAAAGTGAAATCCACAAAAAGTCTGTGCTGTAATGTAAATTTACTCAAGTGGAGGGGGTCTGTAGGGTGTCTATAGCGTCCAGTGGGAATGCACAGCTAAGACTTGGTCTAAACCCCACTAGATGGCACAATTCTGCTTCCCACAGGGATGTTCGAGGGTGAGGGGAGGAAGCTTTAACACATTAATTCATTTAATACATTAAAGAGGTCACAGCTAGTGTCTACTTTGGAGAAAATTGCAGTATGTGCCTTTTCATTTTCTTCTTTTGTCTTATAATCTTCTTGAATGAAATAATGTAGAAAACATAATCTTTTAATTCTCTATTGTAAATGGTACTTCTATATTGCAAGTCTAGATAGTGAAATCCTGGCTTTTTCTTTTACAGACTCCTATGCTCAGCGTACAAACACTTTCACTTCGATCACAATGCTACTCTTGTTTTGCAGTGTTTGTAATCCTCTGCAAGGCTTATAACCAGACTGGTGGCACTTTTTCCAATCTTTGTAGGTTTGTGAACCCTGGCAATTTTCAGGTGAAGAAATTTCAACCTAGTGATAACATGCTTGTTTCTGGTTTGGACCCTTAGAAACAGTCTGGAAAATTGTAGGGGTTTGAGATCACAGGTTTAAAACCACTGGAAAAATGAATGAGAAAATGTAAGAATAACGCTGATCCTAAACAAAAGCGTAATTATCACCTGCACCGGCAGAGGCAAGAACCAAGGAAAGTGCAAAGCGCACTGAGTTGCAAAAGCCGTTATTTTAGTGCTCTTTCTTGACATTAGCAGTAATAACAACACAGCTTTAAAAAAAATCAGCATTGACTGGAAGCTATTTTTAAAATGGATAGGTTATCTGATCAGCACTCTGCTCTGGAGGAATTCTTACCTCCTAGCTCAGTCACGTCCTCTTAGCAGCAAATGTTGGAGAGCAAACGGGGGATGGTGGGGGTTTTGGTGGAGGTTTTGGTTTTTTTCTCTCCTTTCAACTGATCAAAGACATTTCAGCCTCTTCCACATCCCTTGCTCAGAGCTTTGGGTTATCCCACGGCCTGGTCCTAAGCCCCTCCTTAGGAATGTGCAGAGCCTTTACCAAGGAGATCTGATAAGGCTGAGGAGCTCTTCCTTTGGTACCAGGCAGCGGAGGGGCCCTGCAGGCCTGCTCCACATCACCCTTGACACCACTTTCGTGCTTTCTGCCAGTCTAACTAAGATTAAGTGAACCTCAGGAGCTGCGCACTGCGCTTTGGGCTTAGCTTCCTCATAGGAGGCTGCAGCCACCCAACTGAAATGTCACAAAAAAGGGAGATAGAAGAGGCTGGTTAAATTCATGACTCCATTCCACAGCCCGTCAGGTTTATTTTCCTGTGTTTATTTTCTCAGTGTAAACAAGGACAGCCTTTGCTTAAAAGGTTATAGCACCAGAGGCTAATCATTGGTGGGTTTTGTGCTTCATAATTATCATTTCCCTATTTACTCTTTGCTGGTTAAATATATTGTTTAGGCATTTATTTTAACAACAACAACAAAGCAAAAAAGCCAACACCCAGAATAGTCACATAGGATTTTCTGCCCTAGGAGGCTTTTAATTGATTAGCTCCTTGGTGGTACACAGTATCCCTTGAGTCTCTCTGTAGACGAGTATTTTTACGTGCCAGCTGGCCAGTGGTTTGGCCAGCCATGTACTACGGGCAAGCGTTGCAAGAGCTGTTCTCAGAGCTGGCCCTCACTGGCACTGGTCTCCGAGGAGCTGACACTGAGCAGGAGTTGCAGAGGACGTGTGCTTGCCCATGGATGCCTCCAAACACAAGGATGGGGAGAGTGGAGACACAGCCTGCATATTTCCACTTGCAGGAATGAAGCTGATACCTGCCCTTTTCCCATGGTGAAAGCATTGCAGATGTACTAGAGGGGAACATTGGGCCTGAGCCTGTTGTCCTGAGCCGTAGCAGTACTACGAAGCCCTTAATATACTGCCTTGTGCTGGAGTTCTTAACTGTGGCAAAGCCAGCAGATTGCATGGTCCTTCTTGGTAAGCTACGGAGAACTACCTGGCTCATGCTCCCAGCCGGTTCATCCCAGGCTGCTGCTATTCAATCCGTCCTGTTGGACACACGAGCCCTGAACTGTTTTTCCAGAGACTGTTGTGGGGCAGTCAGGAGCCTCCTGTGACTAAGCTCACCTTCTGGGGCTGCCACACAGAAGACACTCTTCAGGGGCTGTAGCAGTGTGAGTGTCCTGAGTAAACAAACTATGTCTCCAGAGATTGAGGTACCTGCAAAACACCAGGCTGATGCATCAAGCAACATTAAATGATCTAGATATGAAAAATCTTTCACAGTTTGCAGCTGGCATAGGAAAACATAGCTGATTCCTAGGAAGTGCCCAGGAGTGTTTAACCCTCCTGCAGCCACTCTCTTTTTCCAAAGTCCTTGTCATGTTTTAAGCCAGCAGGCAGCTGAACACCACACAGCCATTCGCTCACTCCCTGCCTCCCCAGTGGGATGGGGGAGAGAATTCGGGAAGAAAAAAAAAAAGTTATATTCATGAGTTGAGTTTTATAGGACAGAAAAGGAAGTGAAAATAATAATAATAGTAATAGTAATAATATATACAAAACAAGTGATGCACAATGCAATTGCTCACCACCTGCTGACCGATGCCCAGCCTGTCCCCAAACAGTGATCGCGGCCGTGCCCCGCCCCTCCCCCAAGCAGCCGTCACTGCCCCCCCGGCCAACTCCCCCCAGTTCATATACTGAGCATGAGGTCATACGGTCTGGAATAGCCCTTTGGCCAGTCTGGGTCAGCTGCCCTGGCTGTGCCCCCTCCCAGCTTCTGGTGCACCTGACAGAGCAGGGGAACCTGAGGAGCCCTTGACTTAGTGTAAGCCCTACTCAGCAACAACTAAACCATCAGTGTGTTGTCAATGTTATTCTCATCCTAAATCCAAAACACAGCACTATGCCAGCTAGTAGGAAGAAAATTAACCCTATCCCAGCCAAAACCAGGACAGTCCTGTTCTCCCAGGAAATTAGCCTGGCCTGACGTACTTACAGGTGTTACCACCTTCCAGACCAATGTCTAACTTCTCCACTTTTATTAGCCCCTTCAGAAAAAAAAAAGGGGCTAGTTAAAATTCAGGGCTGCTTGGTCCAGGCTGCCTACACAGTCTTTCCTTTCTTGCTGTGAAAGCCTGTCCATGCGGCTCTGTTCTTCCCCTCCTCCTTCACCACTGTTGGTGCCCTGCTGATTTGGAAGTTGAGGCAGGAATGGCTAAATGTGACGCACATGCCTTGCAAAACCCAGCCATTCCTGTTAGGGGGTTCATGATTTTAGGAGTTTACCTTACTGAGGGTTAAGCTCACCCATTTCCTCAGGGCTGTGCTCAAATCTGCAAGGGTCACACGGCATCTGGCTTCTCTCCGTGTTTGTAAGGTTGTGTCAGTGCCATGCTGGTGAGTGCTGCTTGGGAGCTAAAAGGACTGAGGTGCAGTTACCTGTGGTTGGTGGCCTTAGAAAAACACAGGCTGTTAACATGTTGCGAGAGGGTCAGAACCCAGGTGTGAGATCCATAATACTGAGCTGAACAGATCAAGCAGTAAAAGCTGTTTTCTCCTGGGAAGGGGGTAGGATGGGAGTTGCCAGTCAGTGAATTCATTTTGCCCACAAAGTCAGAGGAAAATAGTTTGTGTTGTGCCAAGGGCTCCAGTAATGTGAGTTGCTCCTGTGCACCTCTAAAGGTCTAAACTTCTCCCTCTCCAGCATTTCAGCTGTCATTCCCAAATTTCCTGTATTTCCTTCCCCTCCTTTCAAATATTGCTCCCTTTCCACCATGCAATGGATCAATCTATATTGCCTTTTCATCTATTCTCCCAAGACCCCTCTACATGCATGGCTGCATAGACATCAGTATGCCACTGCT